GGAAGTGGCTCATTTAGTGCTAGGTACAAGCAGGCACAACCAAGCTTCTCATGTGGCCCAGAACCCATGACATCATCGGTGCTGGCACTGGTACTTCTAAAGGGGGCAGTCTTAAGACCAGCTGATGGAGGCAGGAAAAGTTCGAGCTTGGTTCATGGTGGGTGGGCTCTGAACAGCCTGATTTAGGCAGCCCTGGAAGACAGCGCTCAAGGGAAACCCAATGGGTAGAACGTTGGGTGGTCCCCTTGACTACTTGGTGTGGAAGGAGAAGTGGCCCTAATGTTAACACATTTGGAACTCTTGGGCAATGGTTAGTGGCTTGACAGGTTGCTCAGGTACCTGGAATAAGAAAGATTGGAAGATCAGGGGCTTCCTGGAGTAAGGCATGTGGAGGGATCTGTGGGAACAGACATGAAGTACATCCCAGCCGAGAACATTCACCATGAGGACACACCAAACCACCACATTAATAGGATGACTTGGCCAGTTGACATCTACTAGCCTCTGCCATCTGCTGTGCCCATGCTGGCACACTGGGCTCTCTCATGGAATCATGGGGTGGGTAGATGCTGGGCATGGCCCATAGCATGGGGCTCCCCCTCACCAGAGCTGACCTAGCTATTTCTCTGCTGAACATCCAGTCTTCCAACAACAAAGACGAAACACTGAGTCCCCAGTTGCACCTTCCTTGGAGGGAAACAGTCATTTGACAACACTGAATCCCTTGTGCCCTAGAAGGTACAGTGATTCATCTTGGCTGGAACCAACACATGTTATAGGCATGGGTTTGCCTTTCCCGTTCTCATGGATTGAGTCAGCTCCGTCACCCAAGTTTCACAGAGTGTTTGATCCACAGGATCCCGCACACAGCCAAGGAACTGCAGCAGTGGACACATGAGAATGGGACCCACTGGCTCCCTCACAGCCACACACCAAGAAGCTGCCAGCCTGATGGAGCAGCAGGATGGTCTGTGGAAGGCACAGCTCACCTCGTGTGCAGCCTGGAGGTGACACCTGCGATGAAGCAGTCACCTCCAGGGTGCAGTCTGCACTGCAAATCACTGACCAGTACTGATGCAGTGTCCTTGGTTTGTGTGATAAATGGGTCTGGGAACCAAAAGGTGAAACTCATCACTCCCAGTGACCCACTTAGAAATCTGTATTTCTCCCCCACACTCCTCTGGGTTCTTAAGGTTTAAAGGTCTTGACTCTCAAAGGGAAAACCTTTCCAGCAGGGGCAAATGAAGAATGTCATTTAATTTCCAGCTCTGGCTGCTGCCTGGTTATTTCGAGTTCCTCGTGCCAAGAGACTGGCTGGCAAGGAATGTAATTTCCATCTTCTGGGATGACTGACCATGGGCATCAGGTGGAGGTAGAGCTGTTACTGCCACCACACCTGGCTACCGCCACACTTGGCACCACACTGGGGGCAGAGACGCACCCAGGTGATGTGATTGGCCACCTCATGGTCCCCTGCCCAAAGTTGATGGCAAATGCAGGGGCTATGGCCAGAGAAGGGCATGGTGACCAGGGGCTTACCTCTCAGGGATGAGGGTTTGCGTTACCTGATCAGGTAAACTAAGCCACCTAGAGCAGTAGAGGAGATAGGCAAGGGTGAGGATGAACCCTAGCATGGGCAGTAGAGCGGGGAGATGAATGTAATTTGCAACCTCAAGGCCAGCTGCAGCAACAAGATGTAGTTCATCCCAGTACCTTCCCTTTTTAAATTTCCCCAGGAAAAGGCCCACCAGAATCCTGCAAGAGCTGCTCCCAGAATGTCTCTGAAGCAAGTGGCTATGAGCAGCACAGTGTGGACTGTAGCGAGCACTGTGGCGCCCATGTGCCCCTTTAGTACTGAAGCACTGTCCCTGCTCCTGGTACAGCTCCTCCCCAATTGCCTGGCTGCAAAGAACGTCTTTGCTCAAGGGCCCACGCCTTCCCCAGGAGTGACTGGTCCAGTGATTAGTGTGTGCAGGGGTATAAAAGCCCAGCTGCCTTGACCCATTGGGAGACACCTCTGCAGGACTGTGCTCAGCCCAGGGCAGACCTTTGAGTGACTGCATCTTCCTTGGTTGGGTTGTGCCTCCTTCACTCTCCAATCACCTTTTCAAATGCAAGCCTTCATCACAGAGGTGGTCTCCCAGGGGACCCCACCTGTGCCAGTGTTACGTGCATAACATCTTCATGTACACAAGTGGGGAGATTTAGTCATTATTTTTAAAAATGAGGTCATCATCTTCAGTCAATCACTATAGCTGGAGTCATTTTCCCCCCTGCAATCTATGTTTTAACAAGGTCATTCTTTTTAGTGGCTATATATTTCATGATGTGGATATTATGTAATTTATTCCTCAGTTTTCTTCTGATTGGTATCTACTTTGTTTTCAGTCCTTTGCCAAAATGAGCAATACTGCTATAAACGTTTTGGTTTAAACCTGTTTACTGTTGCATATATTTCTGTGAAACAGCCAAGAGTGAGATTATTTGGTTAGATGATTGATACTATTTTCTGTTTTTGTTGAGACAAGAACACTGTCTCTCTCTCATATATATATATGGCTGGGGTATATATAGATACGTGTGTATATATATGTGTATATGGGTATGTGTGTATATATATATAAAAAGCAGCACACATATCCTGTTACGTTTAGGTCAAAATTTCACAAACCCACACCCAGTTCAGGAAACATCACTAGCATTCCCAGAGGCCCATGTTAAGCTCCCTGTGACCCACTCCTCCCAATTCCCAAGAGTGATGTACGCATTATTAATTTTTTTTTTTTTTTTTTTTTTTTTTTTTTTTTTTTTGAGACGGAGTCTCACGCTGTTGCCCAGGCTGGAGTGCAGTGGCGCGATCTCGGCTCACTGCAAGCTCCGCCTCCTGGGTTCACGCCATTCTCCTGCCTCAGCCTCCTGAGTAGCTGGGACTACAGGCGCCCGCCACCGCGCCCGGCTAATTTTTTGTATTTTTAGTAGAGACGGGGTTTCACTGTGGTCTCGATCTCCTGACCTTGTGATCCGCCCGCCTCGGCCTCCCAAAGTGCTGGGATTACAGGCTTGAGCCACCGCGCCCGGCCCGCATTATTAATTTTAATAAGTCTTGACAGTTTGCCTTCTAGAAAGAGTCTAATTATTTACATTTTTACCAGCAATACATGAGACTACCTCTTCCCCTCCGTTTTCAGTTATAGTTAATTTGCATTTCCCTGAGTATTGTATTCGTTTCCTGTTTGGGTTTTCTGTTTTGTGTATTGCCTCTTCCTATTCTTTGCTCATTTTTCTGTTGAATTGTTTGTCTTATCTTGTAAGTGTATGAGAACTTGTTGTATATATAGCAATTAACTCTTTGTCATTTTTGTTCCAAATAGTTTTCCCAATGCATTTATTTTCTTTTTGATGTGGTGCTAGTTGTACCAGCCCTATTAATTAATCTATCCTTTTCTATTGAATTGGAATACTGCCTTTGTTGTATATAAAGACTTGGGATCAGTCTCTGGGTTGTCTGTCCTGTTCTAGAGGTCTTTTCTCTCTCTCTTTTTTTTTTTCTTTTTAAGCTTACATTTTTTTTTTCCCCCAAGATGAAGTCTTGCCCTATCACCCAGGTTTGAGCGCAGTGGCGCGATCTCAGGTCACTGCAACCTCCATCTCCCGGGTTTAAGCAATTCTCCTGGCTCAGCCTCCCAAGTAGCTGGGATTGCAGGTGCTTGCCACCACGGACCTGGCTAATTTTTGTATTTTTAGTAGAGGCGGAGTTTCACCATGTTGGCCAAACTGGTTTTGAGCTTCTGACCTCAGGTGATCCACCCGCCTTGGCCTCCCAAAGTGCTGGGACTACAGGCGTGAGTCACCGCACCTGGCCTAAGCTTACATTTCTTGTCTCTTTGTACTTTGAAATTATTTATTAAATTAAAATATCCCTGTAGGGTCTTCAATTGGAATTGCCTTAAATTTAGAAGAATTAAACATTTTGTGATATATATCCTAATGCTGTGGCTTTTCATTTGTACAGATCTTTTTTTATGCCATTTAATAAGATTTTACATTTTCATCATTGAGAGCCTTGTATCTTTTTTTGTTGTATTTATTCTAAGTATAATGTTTTTATATTGTAAGTGGAATATTTTCCCCTATTTGCATTTCTAGGTTGTTATTTTTCCTGCAGAAGAAATATATGTCACAGTGGTTAAGAGCACAGACTCCCAAATCATATTGCCTGGGATTGGATCCTGGTTCTGTCACTTACTGTTCAGCCCAGGCTTATTGAAATTAAAACAAAAATCTAAGTTAGAAGTTTGTTTTAATGATGTTTTACTGAACCTTTAATTGCTCCACTGCAGTATTCAGTCTAAGAATTTCCCCAAACCTTTAATAATACTTTTAAGGTTTCTATAAATGTTGACCTTAGGTTTTTAGAGTCACGTATTCAAATGCAAATGCCAAATAATGATTTTTTTTGTTTGTTTTTTTTTTTTTTGAGACGGAGTCTTACTCTGTCGCCCAGGCTGGAGTGCAGTGGCGCGATCTCGGCTCACTGCAAGCTCCGCCTCCCGGGTTCACGCCGTTCTCCTGCCTCAGCCTCCCGAGTAGCTGGGACTACAGGCCCCCGCCACCACACTCGGCTAATTTTTTGTTTTTTTTTTTAGTAGAGACGGGGTTTCACCGTGGTCTGGATCTCCTGACCTTGTGATCTGCCCAGCTTGGCCTCCCAAAGTGCTGGGATTACAGGCGTGAGCCACCGCGCCAGGCCCAAATAATGATTTTTAATAAATGTTTTATGATTATATAGAGCTATCTTCAGTTAACTTGAAGGTACTTTACATAAACATTTATTGCAATGGTATTAAGCATTTTACTTGTGAATTTTATTACATTGTTTTAAGTAAGTTAATAATGAATAAATAAGCATGATTATAGAGGTTATTTCAGTGTTAACTGTATTACTTAGATATTAGTGTTTCTTTAATGCCCCATGTTTCTTTTTTTGTTGTTTTTAAAAGCTACAGAAGTGATAAACAAGTCCAGTGTTAAGTATTCAGTACAACTTGAAGATGGGAAGAATCGATCACCAGAAAAAAAGGTAAATCATTGCAAATATGAGTAATTTTAAACAGATAACACTCATTTGTTCAACAGATACTTATTAAGTGTTCTACTATATGCTAAGCACTGTAGATACAACACCTAAAAAAGAAAAAGAAGGGTGTTCTTGCTCTCCAAGAGCTTATAGTTTAATTTGGATGTGGGGAGGGGCAAGTAAGCGCCGTGAGAGAAGAAGTAAGTTCAGAGTGCTCTGGGACAGTAGGAGGGACATCTAACTCAGTTTTGTGCTATTTCATTTTGCCCTTCTGGGTATTGACGAGAAGAATCAGGGATGTCTTTCTGAAGTCTGAAAATTATATCTGAGTTGAGATCTATTGGATGATTAGGAGTTGATCAACCTAGGCTGGATGCAGTGGCTCACACAGGTAATCCTAGCACGTTGGGAAGCTGAGCAGGGTGGATCACTGGAGGCCAGGAATTTGAGACCAGCTTGGGCACCATAAGGAGACTCTGTCTCTACAAAAAATAATACAAAAAAAAAAAAAAAATTAACTGAGCATGGTGGCCTGCTCCTGTAGTCCCAACTACTCAGGAGGCTGAGGCTGGAGGATCACTTGAGCCAAGGAGTTTGAGGCTGCAGTGAGCTGTGATTGCACTCCAGCCTGGGCAACAGAGCAAGGCTCAGTCTCTAAAAAATAGAAATAAAAAATAAAAAGATCCCCACCTTTAAGGGAGTAGGGGCAGGACATTGAGAACATTTTCAGATAAGGGAAGAAAGCTTGGAACTTTGGGTAGTAGAAATAATAGAAGTTCAGAAAGGTAGGGATATAACATTCACAATGGGTGCGTTATGTGGTACGGGCTAGAGAGGAGATATAAAAGAGGTTGTGGCCGGGCGCGGTGGCTCACACCTGTAATCCCAGCACTTTGGGAGGCTGAGGCAGGCGGATCATGAGGTCAGGAGATGGAGACCATCCTGGCTAACATGGTGAAACCCCGCCTCTACTAAAAATACAAAAATTAGCCGAGCGTGGTGTCGGGCGCCTGTAGTCCCAGCTACTCGGGAGGCTGAGGCAGGAGAATGGCGTGAACCCGGGAGGCGGAGCTTGCAGTGAGCTGAGATCGCTCCACTGCACTCCAACCTGGGGGACAGAGCGAGACTCCATCTCAAAAAAAAAAAAAAAGAAAAAGAAAAGGTCACATCACCAAAGACCTTGTGTATGAAAGTGGTAGAGGCTACATAATGTTTAAGAGAATGGACTTTGGAGTAAACTACCTGTGTTCAAGTCCCAAGCTAACTAAATTTAAACCTAAACTCCCTATAGTAAAGTGAGATAATAGGACCTGTCTCTTGGGTTGATGGGATAATTATTTGTCCCTGGGCTCATAGGATGATTATCTGCCCTTGGAGTGGAGGGAAGAGGTATCTTCCACAGAGAAGGGACTCTTCTCTTCTTCCCTCTGTAAATGAATGGAAATTGTATCTCTCAGTGGTGAACAAACTGTGCTCCTTAGATCCCGAAGGCAGGGGTCTGCAAACTTTTTGCTCCCTTTCTCTCAAAATAATTTTCTTGTTTTTGTTTGTTTGTTTGTTCGAGACAGCCCCTCACTCTGTCGCCCAGGGTGGAGTGCAGTGGTGTGATCACAACTTACTGCAATTTTCACCTCTACCTCCGCCACCGTGCCCAGCTAATCAATTGAGTCCTGGACTCAAGTGATCCTCCCAACTCAGCCTCCCAAGTAGCTGACACTAGAGGCACACACTATCATTGCCCAGCTAATTTTTGTATTTTTGGTAGAGACAGGGTTTCACCATGTTGCCCGGGGTGGCCTCAAACTCCTGGGCTCAAGCAATCCTCCCGCCTTGGCCTCCCAAAGTGCTGGGATTACAGGTGTGAGCCCCCATGCCTGGCCATCTCAAACTGTGTGTACTGCCTGATATATTTTAAAGTTGAAATTTAAAGTCTTTTTTTTTTTTGACGGAGTCTCGCTCTGTCGCCCAGGCTGGAGTGTAGTGGTGCGATCTCGGCTCACTGCAAGCTCCGCCTCCCGGGTTCACGCCATTCTCCTGCCTCAGCCTCCCGAGTAGCTGGGACTACAGGCACCCACAACCGCGCCCGGCTAATTTTTTGTATTTTTAGTAGAGACGGGGTTTCACCGTGGTCTCGATCTCCTGACCTTGTGATCCGCCCGCCTCGGCCTCCCAAAGTGCTGGGATTACAGGCGTGAGCCACCGCGCCCGGCCGAAATTTAAAGTCTTTATCACAAGTTTAAAAAATTGCAAAGTACGTGATTTCTGCTCTATCGTTAATATTGACATTTTTACTGTTACATTATTTAAAATATATTCACAAAAATTAAATACTGCACTTTGACAACTTGATATCCACAATCATCTCATTATTATTATTATTATTATTATTATTTGGAGATGGAGTCTTGCTGTGTCACCTTCACTGGAGTGCAGTGGCGCGATCTCGACTCACTGCCACCTCCGCCTCCTGGGTTAAGCAATTCTCCTGCCTCAGCCTCCTGAGTAGGTGGGATTGATTACAGGTGCCCACCACCACACCCAGCTAATTTTTGTATTTTTAGTAGATATGGAGTTTCACCATGTTGGTCAGGCTGGTCTCGAACTCCTAACCTCAGGTGATCTGCCTGCCTCGGCCCCCTAAAGTGTTGGGATTACAGGTGTGAGCCACCGTGCCTGGCCTATTTTATTTATTAATTAATTTATTTACTTATTTATTGTTTTTTGACATGTATTGTTATTCTCACTCTGTCACCAAGGCGGGAGTGCAGTAATGCGATCTTGGCTCACTGCAACCTCCGTTTCCCGGGTTTAAGCGATTCTCCTGCCTCAGCCTCCCGAGCAGCTGGATTTACGGCGCACACCACTATGCCCAGCTAATTTTTATGTTTTTAGTAGAGACAGGGTTTCACCATATTGGCCAGGTTGGTCTGGAACTCCTGACCTCATGATCCACCTGCCTGGGCCTCCCAAAGTGTTGAGATTACAGGCGTGAGCCACCATGCCTGGCCTGTTTTTATTATTATTATTATTTTGAGACTTTCTCACTGTGTCGCCCAGGCTGAAGTACAGTGTGGTGTGACCATGGCTCACTGTAGCCTTGACCTCCTGGGCTCAGGTGATCTTCTCACCTCAGCCTCCTGAGTAGCTGGGTCTATAGGCACAGGACACTACGCCCAGCTAATTTTTCTATTCTTTGTAGTAAGACAGGATTTTGCCATTTTGCCCAGACTGGTCTTGAACTCCTGGGCTCAAGCAGTCCTCCTGCCTCAGCCTCCCAAAGGGCCAGGATTACAGGTGTGAGCCACTGTGCCCAGCCCACAATAATCCCCTTAAAAAAGACAGAGCAAGATCTTCAACAGTTTGAAATTTTATATTTTTCTTTTTCTCCTTGAATTCCTTTCTTGTTTACTCCTCCACGGAATTGTTAATGTAATTTTATGCTTGAAAGCCTACTCTTGGAAACCATGTATTTATCTGAAACAAAAATACAAGTATGCATTAAAAATTTTCATGACATATGACCAAGCGTTAAAACATTTTCTTTCAAAATTATTTAAAATGTAATATTAATATAGTCATTCAAAGCAACATATATATGTGTGTGTGTGTGTGTGTGTGTGTGTGTGTGTGTGTATATATATATATATATATATATATATATATATATATAAAATAAGCCTTGACTGGGTACGTTGGCTCACACCTGTAATCCTAGCACTTTGGGAGGCCAAGGCAGGCAGATTGCTTGAGTCCAGGAGTTTGAGACCAGCCTGGGGAACATGGTGAAACCTCACTCTACTAAAAATAGAAAAATTTGCTGGGTGTGGTGGTGAACCCCTGTGGTCACAGCTACATGGGAGGCTGAGGTGGAAGGATCACCTAAACCAGGGACATGGAGGTTGCAGTGAGCTGAGATTGTGCCACTGCACTTCAACCTGGGCAACAGAGCAAGACCCTGTGTCAAAAAAAAAAAAAAAGGAAAAGAGAAGAAACCTTAAAAATAAAGTGTTATCATAAATAAGTTCTATAATGAAATGGATAGGATTGCTTTCCCCACCTTGATTAGTTTGTGGATCTATGAATGTATATTGTACATTGATGGAATGAGAATGAGACAGGTAGAGAACTGCTATTGAGTTGGGTTTAATTTTTTTTTTTTTTTTTCAAGACAGAGTCTTGCTTTGTCACCCAGGCTGGAGTGCAATGGCATGATCTTGGCTCACTGCAACCTCCACCTTCCGGGTTCAAGCGATTCTCCTGCCTCAGCCTCCTGAGTAGCTGGGATTACAGGCATGCGCCACCATGCCCAGCTAATTTTTGTATTCTTAGTAGAGACGAGGTTTCTCCATGTTGGCCAGAATGGTCTCGAACTCTTGACCTCATGATCCGCCCACCTCAGCCTTGCAAAGTGCTGGGATTACAAGTGTGAGCCCCTGCGCCTGGCCCCAAAAATTTTTTTTAGTAGACAGATTAACATATTATTAAATAGTTTTGGTGATTTCATTTTCTCTATAAATGGTCTTTTTTTTTTTTTTTTTTTTTTTTTTTTTTGAGACGGAGTCTCGCTCTGTCGCCCAGGCTGGAGTGCAGTGGCCGGATCTCAGCTCACTGCAAGCTCCGCCTCCCGGGTTTACGCCATTCTCCTGCCTCAGCCTCCCGAGTAGCTGGGACTACAGGCGCCCGCCACCTCGCCCGGCTAGTTTTTTTGTATTTTTAGTAGAGACGGGGTTTCACCATGTTAGCCAGGATGGTCTCGATCTCCTGACCTCGTGATCCGCCCGTCTCGGCCTCCCAAAGTGCTGGGATTACAGGCTTGAGCCACCGCGCCCGGCCTATAAATGGTCTTTACTTGGAAGTTGTAAATTATTAATCTTCTCTCTTATGCACATATGCAACATATTCCTATCCATGACATCTCTCATTACGTGCATTGATTCCCAGAACAGGGGCTTGTTGGAGGCTTTTGAGCTTTTTTTTTTTGAGACAGAGTTTCATTCTTGTCACCCAAGCTGGAGTGCAATGGTGCAGTCTCGGCTCACTGCAGCCTCCACCTCCTGGATTCAAGTGATTCTCCTGCCTCAGCCTCCCAAGTAGCTGGAATTACACAGGCGCCTGCCACCATGCCCAGCTAATTTTTGTATTTTTAGTAGAGACGGAGTTTCACCTTGTTGGCCAGACTCATCTCAAATTCCTGACCTCAAGTGATCCACCTGCCTCAGCCTCCCAAAGTGCTGGGATTACAGGTGTGAGCTACTAGGCTTTTGAGCTCTTGATCCAGATATGCATGCCTACCTTGGTTGAGAAAAATCACTGCTCTAGAAGACACTATGTGGTTTCCTTAGAAGGTTTGATTATAGAAGCCGGGCGCAGTGGCTCACGCCTGTAATCCCAGCACTTTGGGAGGCCGAGGCAGGTGGATCACCAGGTCAGGAGATAGAGACCATCCTGGCTAACACAGTGAAACCCCGTCTCTACTAAAAATACAAAAAAAAAAATTAGCTGGGCATGGTGGTGGGCGCCTGTAGTCCCAGCTACTCGGGAGGCTGAGGCAGGAGAATGGCATGAACCCAGGAGGGGAAGCTTGCAGTGAGCCCAGATCGCACCACTGCACTCCAGCCTGGGCGACAAAGCCAGACTCTGCCTCAAAAAAAAAAAAAAAAGAAGTTGTGATTATAGATAATATGAAGATTGTGTCTCTGTATTACTTTAGACAAGTTTTTACCAGAAATTAGTTTGGTTTATAAATCTGTCTTAGGAATCCATATTCTAATGAAATATTTTCCATTTTTCTGTAGAATCTTAAATCTTTAAGAAGTCAGACATCAAGAGGTTCCGCTAAGCTCTCTCCTCAGTCCTTCGGTGTCAGACTCACAGATCAGCTATCTACTGACCAAAAACAGAAGAGCATCAGCTCATTGGCTCTTTCAAGTTGTTTAATTCCACGGTATAATCAAGAGGCTTCAGTTCTACAGAAAAAGGAGCATGAAAGAAAGCATTTCCTAATGGAGAATATAAATAATGAAAATAAAGGAAGCATTAATCTTAAAAGAAAACATATTACATATAATAATTCTTCAGAGAAAACAAGTAAACAAATGGCATTGGAAGAAGATACTGATGAGGCTGAAGCCTACCTAAATTCTGGGAACTCAGGAGCATTGAAAAAACATTTTTGTGATATTAGGCATTTGGATGATTGGGCAAAAAGCCAGCTGATTGAAATGCTCAAACAGGCAGCAGCCCTGGTGGTAACTCTGATGTATACTGATGGTTCCACCCAGTTAAGAGCTGACCAGGTTAGTAAACAGTGATGGTTTTTGTTTGCTGTCTTGACACCATAAAAGAAGCCCATTTTCTTAGTGTCTGATTTTGATAGGAGAGCTAGAAACAAGATTTTAAGGCTTTCCCTCCCCTCCAGTGGTAAGTGATTGACAATGGATAGCTCCCATCGGTTTCTTAGGAAACTGCAAAACTGTTTTCCAGAGTGGGTGTGCCATTTTACTTTCCACCAGCAGTGTACTAGGGTTTCAAATTCTCCACCTCCTTGTCAACACTTGTTGTTGTCTATTTTTTTTTTATTTTAGCCATTCTAGTGATTCTGAAGTGGTATTTCATGGTGGTTTTAAATTGTATTTCCCTATTACCTAGTGACATGGAGCATCTTTTCATGTGCTTATTGGCCATTCATATATCTTCTTTGATATCTTCTTTCTGTTTTGATGATTTGATGAAATATCTGTTCAAATTTTTTGCCCATTTTAAAATTGGGTTATTTGTGTTTTATTTTGGATCTGTAAGCATTCTTTATACATTATGATACAAGTCTCTTATAAGATATAACATTTATACTTCTGTCAATTTCTGGCTTATTTTTAAAGAATTTATTGAGGGTGTCTTTTGAAGCACAATATTTTAAAAATTTGATCTGTTAATTTTTTAAAAAAATCTTTCCCTCCCTCCTTCCCTTCTTTCCCTTCCTCCCTTCCTTCTTTCCCTCCCTCCCTCCCTCCCTCCTTCCCTCCCTCTCCTTTCCTCTCTTTTCCTCTTCTTTCCTCTCCTTTCCTGCACCCATCACCCAAGCAGTATACACTGCACACAATTTGTAGTCTTTTATCCCTCACCCCCTTCCCACCCTTTCCTCCTGAGTCCCCAGAGTCCATTGTGTCATTCCTATGCCTTTGCATCCTCATAGCTTAGCTCCCACTTATGAGTGAGAACATACAATGTTTGATTTTCCATTCCTGACTGACTTCACTTAGAATAGTAGTCTCCAGTCTCATCCAGGTCACTGCAAATGCCATTAATTCATTCATTTTTATGGCCAAGTAGTATTCCATCATATGTATATAGCACAGTTTCTTTATTCACTCCTTGATTAATGGGCATTTGGGTTGGTTCCACATTTTTGCAATTGCAAATTGTGCTGCTATAACCATGCATGTGCAAGTATCTTTTTCATATAATGACTTCTTTTCCTCTGGGTAGATACCCAGTAGTGGGACTGCCGGATCAAATGGTAGTTCTACTTTTAGTTCTTTAAGGAATTTCCACACTGTTTGCCATAGTGGTTGTACTAGTTTACATTCCCACCAGAAGTATAGAAGTGTTCCCTGTTCAGTGCATCCATGCCAATATCTATGATTTTTTGACTTTTTGATTATGGCTATTGCAGGAGTAAGGTGGTATTGCATTGTGGTTTTGATGTGCATTTCCATGATCATTAGTGATATTGAGCATTTTTTCATACATTCGGTGGCCATTTTTACATCTTCTTTGGAGAATTGTCTATTCATGTCCTTAGCCCACTTTTTGATGGGATTGTTTGTTTTTTTCTTGCTAATTTGTTTGAGTTCATTGTAGATTAAGGATATTAGTCCTTTGTCAGATATATGGATTGTGAAATTTTTCTCCCACTCTGTGGGTTGTCTGTTTACTCTGCTGACTATTCCTTTTGCTATGCAAAAGCTTTTTAGTTTAATTCTTGTTAATTTGTTTGAGTTCATTGTAGATTAAGGATATTAGTCTTTGTCAGATGTATGGATTGTGAAAATTTTCTCCCACTCTGTGGGTTGTCTGTTTCCTCTGCTGACTATAGCTTTTGCTATGCAAAAGCTTTTTAGTTTAATTAAGTCTCAGTTATTTATCTTTGTTTTTATTACATTTCCTTTTGGGTTCTTGGTCATGACATCCTTGCCTAAGCCAGTGTCTAGGAGGGTTTTTCCAATGTTATCTTCTAGAATTTTTATAGTTTCAGGTATTAGATTTAAGTCTTTGATCCATCTTGAGCTGACATTTGTATAATGTGAGAGATGAGGATCCAGTTTCATTTTACATGTGGCTTGCCAATGATCTCAGCACCATTTGTTGAATAGGGTGTCCTTTCCCCACTTTATGTTTTTGTTTGCTTTGTCGAAGATCAGTTGGCTATAAGTATTTGGGTTTATTGCTGGGCGCAGTGGCTCACACCTGTAATCCCAGCACTTTGGGAGGCCGAGGCGGGAGGATCATGAGGTCAGGAGATCGAGACCATTCTGGCTAACACAGTGAAACCCCGTCTCTACTAAAAATACAAAAATTAGCCAGGCGTGGTGGCGGGTGCCTGTAGTCCCAGCTACTCGGGAGGCTGAGGCAGGAGAATGGCGTGAACCTGGGAGGCAGAGCTTGCAGTGAGCTGAGATCACGCCACTGGACTCCAACCTGGGCGGCAGAGTGAGACTCTGTCTCAGAAAAAAACAAAGTATTTTTCTATTTGCTTCAATTGGTCTGTGTGCCTATTTTTATGCCAGTACCATGCTGTTTTGGTAATGATGCTTATAGTATAGTTTGAAATCAGGTACTGTGATGCCTCCAGATTTGTTCTTTTTTTTTTTTTTTTTTTTTTTTTTGAGACAGAGTCTTGCTCTGTCACCCAGGCTGGAGTGCAGTGGTGTGATCTCAGCTCACTGCAACCTCCAACTCTTGGGTTCAAGTGATTCTTCTGCCTCAGCCTCGCAAGTAGCTGGGACTACAGGTGCCTGCCACCACGCCTGGCTAATTTTTGTATTTTTAGTAGAATGAGGTTTCACCATATTGGCCAGGTTGGTCTTGAACTCCTGACCTGGTGTTCTACCCACCTTGGCCTCCCAAAGTGCTGGGATTACAGGTATGAGCCACCATGCCTGGCCTAGGATTGTTTTTTATAGTTCTGTGAAGAATGATGGTGGTATTTTGATGGGAATTGCATTGAATTTGTAGATTGTTTTTGGCAGTGTAGTCATTTTCACAATATTGATTCTACCCATCCATGAGCATGGGATGTGCTTCCATTTGTTTGTGTCATCTGTTATTTCTTTCAGCAGTGTTTTGTAGTTTTCCATGCAAAGGTCTTTCACCTCCTTGGTTAGGTATATTCGTAAGTATTTTATTTTTTTGCAGCTATTGTAGAAGGGGTTGAGTTCTTGATTTGATTCTCAGCTTAGTCACTGTTAGTGTATAGAAGAGCTACTGATTTGTGTACCTTAATTTTGTATCCAGAAACTTGACTGAATTCTTTCATCAGTTATAGGAGCTTTCTGGAGGAATCTTTAAGGTTTTCTAGGTAAACAATCATGTAATCAGCAAATAGTGACAGCTTGACTTCCTCTTTATTGATTCGGTTGCTTTTTATTTCTTTCTTTTGTCTGATTGCTCTGGCTAGGACTTCCAGTACTATATTGAAGGGAAGTGGTGAGAGTGGTCATCCTTGTCTTGTTCCAGTTCTCACGGGGAATGCTTTCAACTTTTCTCCATTAAGTATTATGTTGCCTGTGGGTTTATAATAGATGGCTTTTATTATATTGAGGTATGTCCCTTGTGTGCCAATTTTGCTGAGAGTTTTAATAATAAAGCAATGCGGGATTTTGCTGAATGCTTTTTCTGCATCTATTGAGATGATCATGTGATTTTTGTTTTTAATTCTGTTTATGTGACGTATCACATTTATTGACTTGCATATGTTAGACCATCCCTGTATCCCTGGTATGAAACCCACTTGATCATGGTGGATTATCTTTTTGATATGTTGTTGGATTTGGTTAGCTAGTATTTTGTTAAGGACTTTTGCATCTATGTTCATCAGGGATATTGGTCTGTAGTTTTCTCTTTTGGTGATATTCTTTCCTGGTATTGGTACTAGGGTGATACTGACTTCATAGAATGATTTAGTGAGGATTCCCTCTTTTTCTATCTTGTGGAATAGTGTCAATAGGATCAGTACTGATTCTTCTTTGAATGTCTGGTAGAATTCTGTTGTGAATCTGTCTGGTCCTGGACTTTTTTTGTTGGTAATTGTTTTGTTACCATTTCAATCTCACTGCTTGTTATTGATTTGTTCAGGACGTCTAATTCTTCCTGATTTAAACTAGAAGGGTTGTATCTTTCCAGGAATTTATCCATATCCTCTAGATTTTCGAGTTTATGTTTGTAAAGTTATTCATAGTAGCCTTGAGTGATCTTTTGCATTTTTGTGGTGTCAGTTGTTGTATCTCCCATTTTGTTTCTAATTGAGCTTATTTGGATTTTCTCTCTTCTTTTATTGGTTAATCTTGGTAATGGTCTATCAATTTTATTTATCTTTTCAAAGAACCAGCTTTTTGTTTCATTTATCTTTTTTTTTTTTTTTTTTTTTGAGACAGAGTTTTGCTCTCGTGCAGGCTGGAGTGCAATGGCGAAATCTCAGCTCGCTGCAACCTCTGCCTCCCGGGTTCAAGTGATTCTCCTGCCTCAGTCACCCAAGTAGCTGGGATTACAGGCGTGTACCACCACACCTGGCTAATTTTTTGTATTTAGTAGAGACGGGGTTTCACCATGTTGGTCAGACTGGTCTCCAACTCCTGACCTCAGGTGATCCGCCCTCCTCTGCCACCCAAAGTGCTGGGATTACAGGCATGAGCCACCGTGCCTGGCATTTGTTTCATTTATCTTTTGTATTTTGTTTGTTTGTTTGTTTCAATATCATTGAATTCCGCTCTGATCGTGGTCATTTCCTTTCTTCTGCTGGGTTTAGGTTTGGTTTGTTCTTGTTTCTGTAGTTCCTTGAGGTATGACCTTAGATTGTCTGTGCTCTTTCAGACATTTTTTTGTTTGTTTGTTTTTGAGATGGAGTCTTGCTCAGTCACCCAGGCTGCAGTGCAGTGGCGCGATCTCGGCTCACTGTGAGCTCCGCCTCCTGGGTTCATGCTGTTCTCTGCCTCAGCCTCCCCAGTAGCTGGGTCTACAGGCACCCGCCACCACGCCTGGCTAATTTTTTTTGTATTTTTAGTAGAGACGAGGTTTCACC